TTTTGTTTTTCCCTCAAATGCAGAAAGAATAGATGTACACGTAGAGGCTTATTCATGCCTAGAACTTCTAGTTTACTAGAATCGATTGTATTATGTGTAATGAAATGAACAGCTATATTGAAGAAAAAAGAGACATTATGGTATCCACTGATTTCCTATCCTCGGGCTGTGAAATCCAGTAATGCTTTTATTCTTGGTTTAGAGTGGTTTTAGTCTATTTTGTACTATTTAATTTCAACATACATGAAGATATGGACAGTTATTTTGAAGAGAACGAAACATTACGGTAGCCATTGTTGACTTTCCTACTGTCTGGTTTTGAAGGCCTGTAATGCCTTCATTATTCTATTTTGATCAGTTTTTTTTTTTTTTTTGATCAGTTTTATACTATTTTATTTTGTATGAATTCATTATGTGTGAAGATAAAGACAACTATTTGGAAGAAAACAAGAGACATGGTAACAATTGTAGATCTCCTGTTGTCTTGAAACCTGTGTCGCTTACATTGTTTTCTACTAATCTGCTTTGTTATATTTTGTGTTACCCTCTTTAAAATAAAACAATTTTAAAAAAGAGAGAGACGCTAGGTCATTCCAGAGCTCCTCAACTGCACAACCTTTTGTCTTTCTTTGCACCCATGTGCCACATTGCCGGGTGGCTTAGACTGATACTCTGAGCAAGAGTTCTGTTAACTGGTGCCCAATGTGGGCAGAATCCCAAAGACAAGCCCAAGGAGCATAAGCTGTGTTCAGTGGCACAGGGACGCTGCACAACAAGTGGCCAAAGACTTTTGGAATGAAGCACAACAAAAAGAGGTGTCTGAAGCAGACGGAATCAGCTGGGATTAAAATAAGTGGAGCAATTTTTCTCTGCAGAAGAACAACAATCTAGGTGCCCAACTTAATTTTAGCTCTAACGGGACACCTTTATGACTGCCTTCTTGGAACACATGACTATGGAGAGAGGAACATCCAGCCCTCCAGTGCAAGCATTCTCGAGGATGACCTTGAAGAAAGCCAGTGCCACAAGTACTGAGATCCACACGGGCTACAAAACCCATGAGGTGGAGACAAATGAAGAGGACACTGTAGGAAGCTCGCACACATGACATGACAGGGCTCCCACAAACTCCTAAAATATGTTTGTTGCTATAATGGCCATCCTAACCTGCACACTGTTTCAACCGTTGCATTACACAAGTAGAAAGCGGAGACATGTAGGAGACCGTCATGCTGCTCTCTCCTGTTACTGACTTCTTCAGCCCTTTTCACTAAAATATGCAGAGCTGGCTATATTGAAATGGATGTTTTCCTAATTGGCTAACAGAATGTTACTGAATCCAGCCTAGGCAGTGGTCTCATTAATAGCAAGTGGCAATAGGTGGGTGAGAAAAAAGTAACCAACACAGATATAATACAGGACACATAATTTATAGGATTACTTTATAATATTTACCCAAGGAGTCCAATGCAGAAGAGTGCAGATCTGTTCACACACTAGAGACTCAAAGAATCCAGCCGAGGGCCTAGATCCCACAGCAATGTCCTGTATGAGTCCAGCTGAAGACCTAGAGCCCACCACAATGTCTTAAGCAAGTCTGGGTCAAGGATCGGCACCGTGAAGGCCCAAGGGTCAGTGGTGGAGGCTAGAAAGTCTATGCCAGGGGGGTGAAGGACTTGGGCCAGCAGGCTGAGGGATCCGACTGGAGGTAGAAAGCAATGCTCAAGGTGAAGACCAGAGCTCCCCCGAAGAGAACTGCAGCCATCATCAGTGACAACGAGGTCCTGAGCTCCTGTGACAGTGAGAATAGCTGAGTTCACATCAGGAAAAGCAGCCCACAGGCTTCTCCAGGAGAATGAACGGCACCATCTTTCCCTCCAGTTTTCCTTTTCTGCCGCCAGCACAATCTCAAGTGGGCCTTTCACACCCAGCACCGCGCTGCTCAGTTCAGCTGGGTGTTCCAAGTTGACTATTAGTTAATCCACCACAATCTACCACTGGTCAATTTATAACTAGACACATTTCTTTTTTTTTAATCAGTACCGGGGATTGAACTCACAACTACCTGCTTACAAGGCAGGCGCTTATGCCGCTGAGGTAAAGCCCCAGCTCCTAGACACATTTCTTTAAGACATACTCTCTAATGGCAAATTTGTGAAAAGTTAACATGTCTTGGTCTATTGAGATTTACATTAACATAGCAATTACATAAATACAATTCTCACTGCATTAATTTCCTTTTTTTTTTTGTACTAGGGATTGAACTCAGGCCCTTGAGCTTGACAAGCAGGTGATTACACCACTGAGCTAAATCCCTGGCCCTCACCGCATTTGTTTTCATACCAAAAGGAAAATATTCAAAGAGTGATCACAAGTCAAAGTGAAAATCACGATATTTTGACTAATTAACCTGATTATAATATGTATCTTAAACTTATATTAAAAACATATTGGGGCTGGGGATTTAGCTCAGCGGCATAAGCACCTGCTTTGCAAGCGGGTGGTCATGAGTTCGATCCCTGGTACCGGTAAAAATACAAAAAAAAAAAAAATCATATTAAAGACATATTACAATCAAAATTTGCTTCCTATTAACTTTCAATGCTAAGAAACAGCTCCAGTGATCTACATTTCAGACATGCCCTTCCCTTCAGGTGAAGTGCTTCAGTTCATTTTTCCATTGGCCTGTTCTTCTCAACAAGCATGTTCTCCTCTGTTTCATCTTTGCAACCCATAGTCCCACTGGAGTTTTCCCTTTGGTCAAAACACTCTGCTGGCTCTTTGCTTTTATTTATTTATTTATTTTTTTTGTCTTTTTCATTTTTATCAGTACCAGGGATCAAACTCACGACTGCCTGCTTGCAAGGCAGGCGCTTATGCTGCTGAGCTAAATCTCCAGCTCCTGTTTATTTTTTTTATTTTTTGTGGTTCTTTGCTTTTAATTTGTAACACAGATCTGTCCAAAAGCTCTCAACAGTATCCCTGCCACCGCCCCAACAGTAGACTGCACTGAAATTTTTCTGCCACTCAGGCAGTATCTTTAAACACAAACAAAATGCAGACCAACTCCCTGCCAGAGCACAGCACATGCCACCTGGGTTCCAGCACCCAGGGCAGGGCTTCCTAGTAGAAGACTTCTAAGCCTCATCTTAACCGGCAGCATGTCCATGAGCACTGTGATTTTCCAAGCTCAGAACAGAGTCTCCAGTATAGTTTACAGTGCACAGGGGCTGCCTCTTCAGCCAGTCTCCCAAGACCTTTCCAGATTAATTCCTAAGCCACATGGCCAGTCAACATCACAGCAATGAACCTGCTCTCCTGTACTAATTTTGTTGTAGTTACTTTTCTCTCATTGCTAAGAAAAAATACCCAACATCCAAAGTTAAGGCAGGAAAGGTGTATTTAGCTTTCAGTTCGTAGAGGTTTCAGTCCATAATCAGCTGGCTCCAAGGCAGGGTGACACAAGGCAGAGGGACCACTGTTCATAGCAGGGAAGACAACAAAAGCAACAAGAGCAAAAGGGAAGAGAAAGCCTCTTTTTCTCCCTTACTGTAGCACTTACACCCCCAACCCCAGCACTAGACAATGAACCAATCACAAACTCTAGATTTAGCCGCCTCCAAAATGTCCCCCACCATGAGACTCTGGGGGGACATCCACACACAAATCATAACAGGAATGATACCTAATTGAGAAGCTGCTGAAATTAAATGAAAGGTATCAAACTATATGGCATACTTGCTTAAGCTAAAGCCCTCCTCGCTTTCAAAAGGCCTTTTTTGTACCAGAAATCGAACTTAAGACCACACATTTGCCAAGGCAGCCACTGTGCTGCTGAGCTGTATCATAGCTCACCTTTTTTCCCCCTTAAATTCTTCCTGGCTCATTTTTCTTAAGAGTTTAAAATGACCAAGAATACACACATTGTGCAGGTAGAATCACTTAAAAATGTAAAGGACTTTAAGTTATTCTCAACTCTTAGAATACAGTACCAAAACGAACTAAATAAAGTTTCTGAGTCTCTTCAAACACTCAGCACTAAATGCAAGCTTACAGATGCACACTCAGCATCTTTGTGTTGTTGTTGTGTTTTTGAGATAGGGTTTCGTTATGCGGTTCTGGTTGGCCTCGAACTCTGCCTCAGCCTTGAGTGCTGGGATTACAGGTATCCAACCAAGCCCTGCCGCATACTTAGCATCTTACTAACTTTAACAAGCATTTTAAAAAGTTTGATGCTATTTTTTCTTAAGGCACAGCAAATAATCAGGAGCGGGACTATCAGTCGTGGTTGGGTACACTGACTGTTGGAAAAGTGACAAAAACTGCAAAAATTTAGAAAAAACTAGATTCGCGCCATCCTCTATCTTGAATGTTGCAAGTCAGGCTAGTTCCCAGGTCTTAGAACTATGGTCTACCCCAGCAAACACCAGGCCCCAGAGTTCAATTCCCAGCCCCGAAAAAAGAAAAGAAAACCCAAAATGTATCTTGTTTAAAATGCTCTAGGATCGCTGTTCCTCGCATCACGCACAAGCGGAAGCAGAGGCGCGGAGCGACAGCAGAGGGCGCCCAGGCGCAGAGCAGGGCGCTTCGACGGCACCTCCACGGCGCTCCTTTTCTCGCGTTAGTTCCGCAAACTTCCTCTCCCTTGTTCTTAAACCGAGAACGGGGTACTTTGGAGACTAGGTTTTCCCTAAAGGATGATATTTAAGTCTTTTTTCTTTTTCTTTTTTATTGGTACCGGGGATCGAACTCACGACTGCCTGCTTGCGAGGCAGGCGCTTATGCCGCTGAGCTAAATCCCCAGCCCCTATTTTTTAACTCTTAACCTTAGTCCCGCAACTTCCCGAAGAACCTGGAAAGATGGGCAGGAACCGCTACCTCCGCTCTCTACAACAGTCCAGTTTTTACAGGAAGCAAAAAACCAGAACCACGTCGTGGGCCAGCCGCACCACTGAAAACCCAGTCCTCAGAAATGTCACTGACATTATTTCGGGTCCCACCTGATGCGCCTGGAAGAGGCGGCAGCTGCAGCACCGAAGGACCCGAGACTGCTGAGGCGGCGCCATGCCCTCCTCTGTCGCCTCCTGACCCGCGTGTGCACTTCACACTGCGGCCCGGGCTCGGCCCTTCCGCGCGCCCTGGTCGCTCTAAGCACTGGGACTGCCTCGCATGCTCGCGTCCCTCGCTTATTTCAGCCCTAATCCCACTTCCTTCGGTCCCAACCCGGCCGTGCTCAGAGGACTCTCTAGGCACGGGCGCCGCCTCGCTAGCACTCGCATGCCCGCGTTCTTGGCTCGGGCCGATTTAAATCCTCCCTGCCCCCCCCCCCCCCCCCCGTCGCTCGGGCCTCTCTAGGCATAGATGCCGTCTCGCATGCACACGTGCTGCACCCGTTCGGGCCCTAGCTCCCCGCCGCCCGGTCCCTCCGCGCGTGCTCAGGACCCTCTAGCCTTCTGCGCGCCTCGGTGGCCGCTTCACAGGGCTCAGCCCTTGCGCGGCAGCCGGGTTCAGCTTTGCTGTGGGCGGACTCTGAGAGGGAGAGGGACGGGGCTCGCTGTCCGGTCCCCCCACTAAGCCCTGTGGTTGGGATTTGCGGGACGTCGCAGCTCACCAGCCCCGACTTTTAGGAAAGGGAAGCGGGACCCCGGAGGATCCCTGGTCCTGTGGGGCCGCGGCGCCCGGCGCCCGACGGGATGCGGGCCGAGGACCCGCTGGCCTGGGGCATAGCCCGCCTCCTGGGGCCTTGTTCCACACGGAAACTAGGGGCCGGGCGCGGGCCCACCCTGCCGTCTGAAGCGGCCCCAGCACGAGGCGTGGGCCACTGGCGGTGCGGTCGTGACCCTTCCGCCTAGGCTCCTTGATGGACGTCTGGCGAAGTCCTGGCCCAGCGGAGGACCTGCCGAAGCTGCTTTGCAAGACCTGTGCCCTTCCCTCTGCTTCTGAGGAAGGCCCCTCCCCGCCCGCGCCGGCCTGTGGCGAGCGGGCAAGCGTCCCTGGCTCCTCGATGCTTCCGCCTAGCAGTGGCCTGTCCTCTCGCCCCCCTGCTTTTTCCTTCACTTATGCGGTGGAGCCAGCCCTATTCTGTATTTTGAGACACACTCCTGTTAGGTCATTAGGCTGTGACGCCTGCTTCACTGCGGACTTTGGGCAGTGCCACCCCCTGGGGAGCTGGGCATTCAGGCCCCTGATGGCTGACCCTTAGGCACTGGGCAAGGACATCGAGGCACCGCGGGGTGGACTTTATTTCCTCCAGGGGTTTATTAAGGCATCGAACAGTTCAGTCAGCTGAAGTGAACCGAGGAGACAGAAGGGGCCTGTGGGATGCACCCGCAGGGGGCGTGGTGCTAAGGAGCCAAAGCCCGGTGAAGGCGGCTTCCGCTCATGTCCCGTGAAGAGGCTCAGGCTCCCGGGCTCCGGCCAGTATGTGGAGCTCCATACCTAGGAGCCCGACTGGCACAGGCCCTTACTGGTGCCATGTGGCAGCCGTGGGTACCTGGGCCCTGGCACAGCGTGGGGTGCAGAGGGCGAGGCAGGTGGGCCGATGGCAGCCCCCAAGTGGGCGATGCCTGGGCTCAGCATGTGCTCCCACGTGGGGGGGGGGGTTGGGGGGAGGGCAGGTGCAGGGACCTTTCGAAGATGCGGCCCTTGTTTCTGTCACTGGCTCTGCCCAGGAGTGTGAGGACGTGGTTTTCAAGGAGATGAAGGGGCTGTTGGTGGCCCGGCGCAGGTCAGCCCGAAGCCCCCGGCTGCTCTTGGTCGCTGGCAGTGCTGAACTGTCTCTCCACCTTCTTCTGGTCCCTGATCTTGAGGCCGATGTCCACCTTCTTCTCAAAGAAGTTCACCAGCACAGACTCGGTCAGGATGGAAGCCAGGATCTGCTCAAAGGAGATGCACCAGTCTGCGTCCACGGTGCCCCCAGTACGAGAGGAAGCCATGGGGCTGCGGGCCTCCCCGCCCACCAGCACCGTGTCGTCTGTGAGGTCCTCGCATTGCAGGGAGCCGGTGCTGACCACCGAGTAGGAGGACACGGACACGTCGTCTTTGGCTTCATCGTCGTCGGACAGGAGCTGGCAGGGCGAGCCCCGGCCCTCGCCGCCGCCCCCCTCCACCACTGCCTGGCTTTCCTGGGTTGCTTTCCCCAAGTGGATGTCTCCGCCTGCTCTGCCCTGCGCATCCCCTGCGGCAGGGGGCTGTGGGGTCCCCGTAGAGTCCCGCTGGGGTTCAGGCGTCAGTGGCTGGGCTTCCTCAGCAGTGTGGGCCTTGCCCCTGGCCTTCCTGCCTGTTGGGGCTGAGAACTTCTTCCCCACCTCGCCGATGCGCAGGAGGAGGCTGGCCACCGTGGCAATGGCGTGGTACAGGTCCTGCTCCCGGCTGTCCTCACTGAACATGTTGTAAAGAGTCTTGCACAGTTCAATGAACTGCTCCTTTGGAGGAAATGAGAGGGGATGGCAACAGCTGGTCAGTGTGCTCCCGCCAGCCATAGCAAGGAAGCAGGCTGCTCTGACCTCCTGCAACCTGGGCTTGACCGACCCTGTTTCACAGGTTAGAACAATGAGGCTCAGACAGGGCAAGTGACTTGACCAGTTCTACACAGCACCTCAAAAGGGTCTCATGCTGGTCTTGAACTCACTTGTAGCCCAGGCTGGCCTCAAAGTTGCAGTGATCATCCTGCCTCAGTATCCTGAGTGCTGGCATCATAGGCATGCAGCTTAGTTTAAAAAGCCTTTCTTGGTAGCCAGGGTGGTACTCTTATAATCTCAGTAATTTGGGAGGCTGAGACACAAGGATATCAAGTTCGAGGTTAGACAATATAGGGAGGGATTTCAAGGTATAATTAGGGCCATGGGTTCAGCTCAGTGTAGAGGACCCGCTGACCCTGCACAAGACCGAGGTCCCACCCCACATTGGAGCTGGGGAAGAGAGACTTAGTTTTTCTTTTCTTTTGATTTGTTTTGTTTTTTGAGACAGTCTTACTATGCAGTTTAGGCTGGCCTTGAACTCATGATACTCCTGCCTATGTCTCCCAAGTGCTGGGTTATAGGCATGTACCACCATGCCTGGCCAGAGAGACTCATTTGTATCAGCTTTTTATTTTTGCAGTTCTGAGGATGGAATCCTGGGGCTCATGCATGCTAGGCCAGCACTCACCACAAGAGGTACCCTCAGCCCCCATCAGGACCTCCTAAGCCCCATCATTATGAGACTTCTTCACTGTGCTTTATGTTCCTCTGTCCTTGGGGAAGGCTGTAGGGTTATGACAAGTGTCGAGCCCTTTGGGTCTGTGAGTTCAGTGGCCTGAGTGGGGTGACTTGGTGTTCCCTAAGTGCCTTCTGCCAAAGGTGGAGTATGGCCTCTGCTTGTGGAAACTGGCTTCCCCAGAGTTGATGCAGCCTCTGCAGTTTGTCAGCACATCTGACAAGCCCCACCTTGTAGAATAATCACTAAGTACACGCAGGAAAGAGAACTCCCATCCAGGAGATAGCTGCGGTGAGGAGCACCAGGCCCCATTACGCCGCAGGCTCCTCCAGTCCAGCCCCAGTACAGTGAGGGTAGCACATGAGCCTACCTGGTTCATCTTAGGCAGATCCTTAATTGTCTCCTTCTGCGCCTCCTTCTCCTTGGCCCACATGCAGAGGTAGTGTTGGTAGTCTGGAGGGCTGGTCCCCTTCTCCTCTGAGTCGGGGGAAAGGAGATTGACTTCCACCTGTCTGCTGAGAGCAGGAGGGCTCCCCCAAACCAGCTGCAGGGGGCTGACTGTAAGGCCCCAAACCTGCCACCTCCCTAAGGCAGTGGCTGGAGAGGGACTGGCAGGAGGCAGGGAGCTATTGAGACACTAGAGGTGGGCAGACAGGGCTGCAGCTCCTAGTGGAGTGGGAGAGCCCCGGGTCTTTGTCAGGACGTTTGTGATCTCCCCAAGCTGGAGGGTCTCTCCTATGGGGGCTGGGGACAGATGGGGCACACAGGAACCCTATAGCCTGTCTATAGTGGTAGAGAATGGGCTGTACCTTTTTTTTCTTGAACATCCTCATTTCCACTTCCTTCTCTCTCTTCCTGCAGTAGTGCTTCTGGGCAACCAGAAAAAGAAAAGAACATGAAGGGAATCCCAACCCTAAGCCATGTGCAAGGCCTGGTCCGAGGCTCTGCACTGCTCCTCCAGCCCAGCCCCAGCACAGCGAGGGAGAGCCACTGAGTCTTGGTCATGACATGCTCACAAAGCTGACAGCCGCAGTGCTGCAGCACAGTGGATGCCTGAGTGCTGGGGGCCCTGGGTCTGACCCTCAGCACAGCAAATGAAGGGCCCGCAAATACTCCTGTCCTTCAAAAGAATACAAGTCTTGGCACGCTTTTCCTCAACGCAAATAATATGCACCATAAGGCAGCAGGTCAGAACTATTCCCTGCTGTGGTTTCTGCTGAAAATGGGCCACTCTTAGGGGGACGTGATCCATTCTGCCTGTGACTGCCACACCACCTGATGAGGACGTTTATGCACCAGTGTGCTTAGTGTCCCAGTGAGCATGAGCAGTGTGACTGTGGAGGGCCTGGGCCAGCGGGGAGCCCTCAGCTGGGTGGAGAAGGGGGCCCAGGCATCTCCCCAAGGAAGGCAGACGCTGCTGCCAGGGATTGCGGGAAGCCTGAGGACCATCCCGGGGTGTGTAGGATACATGCAGGGCACCTGCCAAGTGCCCAGGCTCCAGCAAAACAAAGGTATGTGAGGCTCTGTAGTGTGGGCCATCGGAAAGCAAGGTCATATTCCACTCAGGCAAGCATCTCATGCTGTCAGCAGGGTTACAAGTGTCTGATTCTGTGTCTCCTCCACCCTCAGTGTGTGTGACACTGGGGATTGAACTCAGGATCCTTGCTCAGCCCTTTTTAGAGATGGGGTCTCACTAACTTGCTAAATTGCCCAGCCTCAGGCCCCCCAACCCTTTTCCTGATATGGTCTCATAGTATAGGCTGGCCTGGAACTAAGTTGTACAGGATGGCTTTCACCTGTAACTCTCCTGCCTCAGCCTCCCTGTGGGATTACAGGCATATGCCACACATGTGGCAGGGTATGTTATGTTTTCATTTTCTTTTTTGGGTCAGTTCCTTGGCATGTGAGGCTACAGGGCAGTGCTATGGTCAGTTGTGCTTTGTGGTGCTGGGGACTGAACCTGGGCCCTGTGCCTGCCAGGCGAGTGCTGTACAGCTGAGCTGCACCTCAGTGCCTGTGCTGGCCTTACAAAGGTCCCATACAGGGCCAGCTGGACTGCAAGTCTACGGCCTAAAAGCCTTCCTTGCTCTGCATCAGGGGTTCCCACAGCTTGAAT